GATTACAAGACCACTGGATCATTGGGCAGGGGTGAAGGGGGGTCATTCTGTCTGTTGTCTACCCTTATCTTAATCACCCACATTGACCCACCACCTTACACTGGATTAAACCTGCTGCAATGCCACCGTCTCCCCTTCCTTATTGATTACGGTGAAACCAAGGCAAATGCGCAAACTAAAACTGAAACATTTTTAATTGATTAATTTAAACATTGTATGGATTCGCTGATGATTTTTTTTATGGATTAGCCGCATCCCATTGTGGGCATCGCAAATGCCACCGAGATGACAAGTTGGTAGGGGTCCATAAGGTCAAATCCCATCTTACAGACATTTTTGGCGGCATTGAACTGAATGTGGAAGCTGCTAACAATACCGTTCAAAAGAACAGGTAATTAATGTTCAATTTGCATGTACACGTAGCGCCCTTTCGTCAATCCACTGCTGGACGAGGGCATCCCCACCCCCCATTTGGGTCGAAGGGGTTCTTTGAGCGTGCTACCAACACGCTGGTCAGTGCGAGTTGGTGAAGGCGGGGAGCATAGAAGTAGAGTACAACAATGGATGTTGCTGCATTGCGCTCTGCTGCCCACCGCCTAGTCCCCTCTACAATGACTGCAAAACGATTTCACGACAAGAGTTACACTGTTACATCGATGTTCATATCCCATTGGTTAAACTCCGCATATACATAGTTCGGACGCATACAAAGTGCCGTACAGCAAGAGTGTTTCTACATACGCAATCACATCTTCACTTATTGAAAATAATGCGTAAGTGTGCGTCAGGTTAGCAATCACACTTGCAGTGCATATCCAACGAAGAAAACGTGGAATTGAAATTATGTTACAGGCTTCATTAAAAAAAATGCATCGTTACAGGAAAGAAAAAATGCGCTTTAATCATCGCTCACAATTTAAGAACATACGAAAAAAATGCACTTTGGAATCTATTGTGACGGGAAACCTGTAAATGTGAGCTATGCAGTACAGGATTTAAAATATTGTCACCGGCAATTTGAAAATGTGAGATTTAGGGTATGACAAGACAGACAATGGCGTCCCTTTGAAAGCGACGTCAAAGCGGATTAAATATACACTTAGAGCAGACAATTCACTCTGGTCACTCCCCACAGAAATTACCAATTGACTATAGCAACCGTTTTGTAGACTCCATTCAATATAACAATAATGGTTTTGAATGTATTGGCTTTCTCCAAGAGTTTCACTGAATTGCAAGACTTTTTCAGAGGAATGCTGCATTGGGATATTAATATTGCCAGGAAACCAGAGTACAATACGAACGCCTAGCATATGACGGCCTAGCACTCCAAGACACGCACCGATGTATTGAAGAATTCACTTGCTCCGCTGCCACTTCCTGGAAGCTGAGCGGGACAGTAGGAGTTCACGTGTAACTTTGTGCCTGCTACATTACGAGGCTATTCGGCCATGCGTTCAGCATTCTGTACATCTGGACTCAACTGATGTGGCAACATGTCATTTGTCAACCAAAGTACTTGAGGGAGATGAGAGTGTGGCCTTCATTCGCACCAGACAGTGACATTTGAACTCGGTATCCTTAGGTTTTTTCGGTAAAGTCACGTAGGTAAAAACATTAAAAAGTAAAATAAAATAAAATAAAAAATCACGACGTTTCGGAGGCAACACAAGCTTCCGTCGTCAGGTGGTACCGTCACAGCCACGACAGCTGTATCAAGTAAATGAGAGATTTCAGGAGATACCACTGCGTTTATATAATGGTTGGAGAAGGTGGTGGGGCATGGGCCGCATCTTTATTATTAATATGGTAAGGTGAGGCTTGAGACTAAGCATAGACTGCATAACAAAGGCTGAGCCTTATGGAGAGGTGCGGTTTTTGACTCAACCTGTAACAGGGAGACCAACACTAAACATGGTAAAACAGTAATGGTTGTCCGTCAAATAAGATTGGCAAATAAGTGTGGTTAAATCTTTTTTGCATGGTTAATCACATCTTTCCAATGATTACTCAGTTTGTAACCATCATCACGGTTGAAATTATGTCTGTGTTTGTATATTTGTATGGCTTCGTGTACAAACCTTTGATGGTAGCCAGGAGGTTTGCAGAGAACCTTGGTCTCGGAAAATACAATTTCATGAGAGCCCACCGAGTTGTAGCAATGATCGGCAACGGCCGAAGAATCAGTTCTGCCGTGTTTCAGATCTGACTTGTGCTCGCGGACACGATCAGAAACATGACGTTTCGTTTCTCCAATGTAGCAATCACCACAAATGCAACTCAATTTGTAGACTCCAGGATACTGTAAGTCAGGAACGACATCCTTCACAGATGGAATCAAATCACGGATTTTATGCACTGTACTGAATCGGACTTGGATCTTATGTTTGTTTAGAATTTTGGAGATATTTTTGGTCACGCCTGCTATGTATGGCAACGTGATAGTTTTGGTCGGAGTTTCATGAAAAAAATCGGATCGTTTTAAGTGAGACATTCATCCAGCAGTGTTGCTGACAAGATAATTTGAAAGTATTATTTATGTTGGTGCTTTCATATGTAGCTAACCGTGCTACTTAGAGGTGAGAATATGGATGCACGCTTTCTTAAATATATACAAACCACTAATTGTCCGCCAAATATGTAGATAATCGCTATTTTATGAATCGCCAAACATGTCCTCGATGTTAAAGAATTCGTATCACGTGGTGAAACAAATTCTTTGCCGTGACTCCTTCACTTCAATCGGCTTCTCATACCCGACTCCAGATGGCACTCTGTTGTGGCTTGTGGATTCGCCGCATGTCAATAATCAAGTCGATTTGTAATTTTGCTGCCATTTGGACGATTAAGTGAAAAAAGCTAAATTCAAATTTTCTGGCTTTTTCGTCGAATCATTGATGAAATGTCTGAGTCAATTTGCGTGAATTCTAAAGTTCCAATGCAAGTTTTCAATGGTAATGGCCTCGTGACCCTACACTGGCATTAGCCTTGTGCCTTAATAGTTTTGACATCAACCGACTACATTTACAGGAGTGTTACGGGACCTCTAATGGGACTCTCCATCCCGACAGCCTTTACCACTGGTCCAGAGGTATTGAACCACGGTCTCCGCTAAATCACACAGACCAAACATTTCCGCTGCATCAGCGGCACTCAACTTAAATTCAGCCACGCGGCCGCAATTGCGTTACCGTCTTAAATGGGCATGGCCTTCTTTAGCAAAAGCAGTGAATGTAATTTTGTTTTAGTGCACCACGCACCGATGTAAACGAATGGAATTGGACCATCGAAAAGAGATGAAAAGGCCCAACATTTAAGCGCACGTCAACGCCAACACTGACGTCACTGAAGGTTTGACTTTGGTCTTGCGAAGTGCGCCACTTAGTTTGGGTAAATGTGTCAGCCACGCGTTGTTCCCCCCACACAGAACATGTCCTGCTGCAAATCATTATCAGAAATAATATGAAATGTTTAGGCATGCACAATGTCATGCGGAAGAAATGTACTTTTAGAAAGTAGAATATGTGTTTTTTCATTACCGGTATACAACATGTAAAAGAGCACCCATTCTTAAGTCTTAAATATTATATCTCAACACGATCTTGTCTCAGCCAGAGGACAATTACTTACTCATTACCATTGCAAAGCCACAAACTGTTACATTACATTACAGTTCTACATTCAAGCACCATACATTCATATTCACATCCCACAATAAATGCAAATCATTAAAGTGTCGATGATTTATCTTCTGTTCCACGAAATATATTTTTAATGACTGCTTGCTCATCGGATTTAAAAATAAATGTACATTATAATTACGAATAATTTGATTGCTCTTGCATGTCGGAGATGTTTAATTCATCGGCCAAGGCAGTCGATTGGCAGGGCGCGTTTAGCGTGGTAAAGCGTGGGTACGGCCACCTTTTCAAAGACGTCTGGTTAGCATGGAAGAGTAGGCCAAATATCCTAGAGGGGCTCTTCTAGACATCCCTCTCGTGGAGGCGCCTCTACCAGCAGTGTCAAGAGCAAATTATTTCAGGGCTGCACCCTCGCCGTTAATTAGGCAAAAAAATGTGTCAAAACACTTCGAAATGTGTTTAACTATTAACAACTTGTTGACTACATGTACTGAAATAGAGGGAAGGTAAGAGTGACCAAGATATGGACATCTATCTCAATATTCAGTGCATCTTCCATGACGTGTGAGTGTGACATTACATCTGCCTTGAGGCTGGTGTCGGACACCGTATCTTTGTTGAAATGAAAAAAAAATATCTACTACGAATATGATTTTGATTCTTGCTAGCTCAGTTGTTATCGGCCTACTTAATATTTTCCACCGAAAGGCAGTTCATGTTGATTTTCTTTTACTAAATAGCTGCTTTGCTACTGAACATTGACAGGAAACCACCTTTCCGCCCAACCATAAATGATGACAAATATATTGGTTGAAATATAAGTCCTCAGCGTAATGTTTTTTTTGAAGTGCTAACTTTAACAAAACATCGGAAGCAAAAGCTATTCCACTCAGCCTCGTAGACTGTCGTGGCCAGGTGCTGTTAGCGACCACATACAGAACTCCAATCACCCGCCTTTGTCTCCGCAGCTATTCACACATCTCACAAGGTACAGGTACTCGTCCACTTACAAACGAGTTAGGTTCCAGAGGTCTGTTTGTAAGTTCAACTTTACTCCTGTCGATTCCAAACATTTTTCGATTTAAAGCTTTCGTGACCGCAGGGATTCATATTTTTGGTTCTTTCGGTAAAGTCACGTAGAAGGGAAATAATAAAATAATAAAACATAATAAAATTCTCACGACGTTTTGGCCACAACGCAAGCAGCCGTCCACAGGTGAAGAAACAGAGCTGTCGGAAAGACAGCATCCTCCTCCCACCCAGCTTAAAATACGCTGCCAAGCTTAGCAGTGTTCATTAGGATGCTGTCTTTCCGACAGCTCTGTTCTTCACATGAGGACGGCTGCTTGCATTGTGGGCGAAACGTCGTGAGAATTATATTTATTATGTTTTATTTTTATTATTTTATTATTTCCCTTCAACGTGACTTTACCGAAAGAACCAATAATGATTCCAAACATGTTGTACGGCACGTACACTAAACACGGGGAATGGATTTAAAACTTTAATAATCTCCTGCAGATGTAGATGCCACTGGTTCTTCATGTTCCGCAGATGTAGATGCCACCACTGCCATCTATTTCGCGGAGCGGTTGAACTTACGACTCTCGGTCCGAGCAGGCAACTGGACATACGAACAGGTTTGTTCCTATCCCTGATAGGGCTTATGTCGAATGTTCGTAAGTGGAGGAGTCCTGTACTGTATTTAATGGTCTTCTTGGTTCTTTCAGCTTGTACGATTGCCACTGGTGTCCATGTACAACACTCGTGCACAATTTGTAATGCATCCAATTGCCGAACTTTAAATGTCCTTTAAATGCTTTAGTGAACAGTTAGAAATGGCCTCTATTTCTCCAAATACGTTTTAAATGACCAGCATCACCGTGGAACTGAACAAAACCATCTGTGAAGAATAACGTAACATTTTTACGTGGTTTTTGAGGTTCCAGTTCATTTGTATTTTATATTCTCCAGTAACAAAATAATTACATTTAATAAGAAATGTGACAATCTGTGGAAACCTTGGGCAAGTGGTATTCACGGCTAAAAGAGTAAAATGGGGAAATGTATAAACATTTGAAAAAAGAACCAGCAATAGAAACTAATTTTCAGAAATAACACGTAATAATACCAGCATTTAGGGCTTCACAGCTGCATTCCATAATGTACTGTATATCAAAAACTAAAGAATGTACACTTGATCATTTTTAAAATAACAAGGCATTTCATATTGGAAGTGGCATTTCAAATACATTACACCAAAGGATTAAGGAACAAAATAAAATGCAAATATGAACGTGAAATAACCATTTATCCAAAATGTAGGGATAAAAAACTGCATTTACCCTTCATTGCAAAGTAAAAAAAATCTATATTTATGAGCTCTTTATTGGACTCTTGATGGGGTTGTAAAAACTGGCATTTGGAAATAAAAATATAGGATGATTTTGCAGGGAATTAAATTGACAGAGAGCACTCATGCCATTATCTGTAAACGTGTGCTGATCATTTCACATATAAACTATGATTGGGTGTGCGATTGAAACCCACATCAACCCTCAACATCAGGATGAAATGTAATTAAATTGAACGCAGATTTTGAAGTGCATACTTACATGCCATTCAAAAACTGTTCCATTGGTTCGACGTTAACTTTCCAAATGAGTAATTTATACTTTTCGCTTGCGCCAGAAATCCCAGCTAATAGATACAAAGCCGAAGCCGACAAATTCTCATTAGTGCCTCCCAGAACCTTAGATGGATACATTCTCATGTCACGTCATGTATTTAATTTGTTCTTTTCAAGCGGAAAGGTTCTTTTGTTTTTTTGCTCTATTGTAACACGCACTCACCCCCAAATTATGCTTCATTAAGAAGCTAAAGAGACTCCACCGAGTCCCCCTTTCATCGTTATGCTTAGCTCTACTGTTTGAGCATCATTCACCTGAAAAGAATGACAATTACTACTTTACCATAAACCTCTGTGGCAAGCAAGAGAAATGGATAATGGATTCCCAGACCTTCTCAAATATGTATCGACGGCATTATTAGGCGCGCGTACGGGAGGCTGATTTTATACAAAAGGGAGGCTCAATGGAAAAAAACCAATCATTTCCCGCAGAGATGGCACGAGGAATGTTGAATATGCCTCGCCTTGTACAAGCTCAACATGGACAACCGTGGTCCTAGGCGGAGATGCGTAAAAGAGCAGGTTTATCCTGTGGCGTCTCGGAAACACCGAGACTGACAAAAAAAGATCAACTCTGCTCGTCTTGAAGGGATCATCGGCCTCAAAGGAATTCACTCGAGCACCGTCCTCAGCCATTATAATATCAGCGTGGGACAGAAGACACGTGTTAGCATTTGCTCGTGTTTGACACTTGTTAGCACGTGTGTGTGCGCGTGTGTGCGCGCGCAGACGTCCAGCCTGCTAATAGCACATTTCGCATAGTCCCAGTTGTATCAGTGGCATCTTTGCCTTTTGTTCGTGTCTGGGTGTGTGTACACGCACCAGCGTGAACATCGCCTAATGGGATTTTATACGTGTGACTGATGCATCGATTTGAGATTTTTGACAAACACATTAAAGAATGAACGTAAGAAGACATTGACACATGGATGATTAATATAACAGGAGGCTCTTTTGAATAATCTTCCCTGTTTACATATAGAGAAATTATTTTTTTACCATGTTTATCTGCTTATCCGAAGCTTCTTCTACACATGTAGAAATGTTAATAATAAAAATAGCGGATAAAACACAATGGCTGCAGGAAAACTACACATTGCGCAACTTGGGAACCAAGGCTATGGTAATTAAATTTACATCATTTTTACTTATGTCAAGAGATTAAACATGAACTGTTCTGCAACTCTGCACTGAGTGACTTAGAGGGGTAGCGAATTTCCATTTAAAATAGCACAAGTGGTGTTTTAAAATCAACATATTAATGTGAATCTGCATAACATTATAGTATTAATCGTATCAAAATACTTGGGGAAAAACTGTCAGTTAAACCTCGATTATACTCAGAGCCAATTGCATTATAACAACAAAATATGACGACGGTAAGACTACTTTTGTGGAAATTTAACCAAAATGCACTTTTGTCTCATGCAGGTATAGCAGCTTCCATTCCGTGTCTTGTCGTTTGTGGTCATGTGATCAGAAGGCTGCTATGAAACAAGAACGGTGATATTTACCAAAGGCCCACAATTGTGGTTGTTTCTTTAATGGTCGTTTCAGATCACATTCAGAACATGCATTTCTTAGTCGAATGCTTCACGAGGCCTAGTTCAAGCGTACTCGGATTCACATTTGCCCAGATCACGTGGTTCCTTGCTTAGAGATAGTCAAAACAATTCCATATGAAATAGAAATATATTTATGCAGCCACAATGGCAACGTATCAAATAATGCACTCCGTTGCGTGGAACAGTTAAGGCTGTAAGGGTTCGTTGAATAACAGTCTGATTCTTAGCCACCAACCTTGGAAATTATGGAATTGAAGCTTTGAAAAGATACTGGCTTAAAAGGACAAGGACGAACGTCAAGCCTTTCCAAGGCCCACTGGTTGCTAAGGACAAAGCCCCCTTGCAGTAGGCCACAGCTGAGAGCACCCGTGTATAGATGCGTTCTAAATGTTGACGCTAAAGCTCTGCTTCGTGTGCTGCCCTATTCACTAACTGCTTGCGTTCCAGTTTTCTGGAGTTTGCTTGTACTGAGTAAGCTGTCAGAAGCGAGTAATGTGCTACGACTAAGCTGCATCTTACACTTTTCATAACGCTTCACGCAGTGTGTGAAACTGCACGTGTGTGCCCTTTATAGACAACTTAAGATTACCATTTAGCTATTTAGTTTTTTTAACAGGGCTATGACAATTCCATGGTCTGTTCTTGGTTTGTGTTGTTAATTTGTCGGGCATTGTTTAATTCCGTGAATATGCAATGCATGCTGTTTAGAGATGTGTGTTTTGTGCATAAAGTAGGGATTTAGATACATGTATTATGTACAGTATTCTATATAAAATTACCTGTAATTGAATTTCAATATTAAAAATATGCGTGTGTATAGAGATATAGGCCAATGTTGTAAAATGCACCATTCATGACATTGATCTTTCTAATGCAAACCAACGCTATGATTGTATTAAACCAGACTGACTTAATTACTGCGCAATCTAGCATGAAAACTGTTCAATAAAATAATACTTCTCCTAAGACATAAATCCAGAGACTTCTAAAAGTTCACATATATCCCAAATGAGAAAAAAACATGCCTACACGGTAACGTTTTCGTTTTTACAGGCAGATATAAATATAAAACGCTTTCGAAATGGAACGTTTAAAACGCGGTGTGTCTGATAGGCACACGGCCAGAAGAAAGACATCAGATCCCAAGTAAAATATGAAACTATATAAAAACGTTTTGTTATTATTTTACTAGGTAAGGCCCACTGAGTTACATAGCTCATTTTCAGAAGTGACCTGGCCACAAATGATAGCTCAACAAAGTAGCTTATCATGGGGCCATTTATCGCAGACAAGTTCTCTAAACGTACGTTCCTAAATGTGGAGAGAGAAACCGGAGGACTCGGAGAGAAACCCACGCGACCAACGGGGACAGAGACACGCAAACTCCAAATATACAACAGTCAGGCTCGAACCCAGGACTTCCTGCGGATACCAGGCGAGGGAGTTTTCACATCTTGTGATTTAGAGGACACGACAACCACTTTGACACTCGCGGCTGTTGACGGACGATCTCTCCGGAGGACGCTGTCATGGGCTCGGATTTTTACGGTCCTTGCTTCGGAATCGGTTCTGCAACAGACGCGTACACATTCACGACACATTGACGGTGAGATTTTTTGACTTTCAACATTCCACGGTCTTGACGAATCAGCAGAAGAAACACACACACATGGTTCGCACAATTGTATACAATCCCCCCCCCCCCGCCCCACCGACAATAACAAGAGCAGAAACAGGGAGAAATTAAACACACACTCACCAAGTTGTACATTGATTCTACCTCGTGGGCCTCTGTACTGTGCTGTGAAGAAAGGCCATTGCCCGAAACGTCGTCTATGAGAAATGTTTCCTTTTTAAGGAGGCGTTATTGACAAATGTGTTGAGCTTTTTTTTATACCAAGAACTGGGTTCAGTAAACAAGATTGAACGTGGAGGTTTTATTACACTGATACAATACCCATTAACAGTGGCACCAAATTAACTCCTTTTGTATCTGTAGTCAAGTTTAGTCAACTTTGAATGACCCAAGACACATAATGGTCAACCACTGCTAACAGCTGTGCACTATCGACCCAAATTACCATGTTCCATTTGGAGACATGGACCGGGTAACATCCATTAAATTCAAAACCCCTTTATTATCCCGCGTGAGTACGAGAGAGACCAATGAAATTGCACGATCACTTTTGCAAAGAGAGGCATCAGAAGACGCGAATAAAAGCGACTGTTCAGCTTTAAATACAAATTTCCCAGGAACTATATCGGTGACGTGGTGCCGAAGCACAGACTGAACACACTTCACCACCTTTTTTATGAACAAAGACTGCCCTTGTCTGATATATGAACACCATCGGCTAACATTTCCACGTGTCTCTGTGCTGCATGACCATCGCTTTCGATGACCAAGAAAATGTTTGTAGGTGGAATTCTTGATAAATCGTGAGCAATGGAAAGATGATATTGAGTGTTAATTTACTAATAGGGGGAGTAGGAACGGCACACCTCTTTGCAGTGAGTAATGTGAGCTGTTTAGATTTCGGGAAAAAACAAAAACATTCTCACGATGTTGATGCTATAAAGCTGCCATTGCACAAAGCTTGGTTTAAACAAGATGCTCGCAGAGATCGCAAACCTGGCTGGGGCTTTTTCAGTTCAGAAGAAAAAATGCGTTAATGATTTCACTAATATCAATTGTAAGCGCTGGCTTTTGCACATCACATCAAATGAGCAAAACTGAGCATTTCACTTTGATCTCCGCACGAGAGCAGCATCTGAATTATCCGACATCTGAAGATTCTAAATTCTGATCTGCAGGCATTAACGGCCAGCGCTGTACCCGGATCTCACAGAGGAATTGTAGATTATTGCTGAGCAAGTGATCGCGGTGTCAATTGCCGCATCGCGCCGCGGAGAAAAGGACTTTCTCTCTCCTGCTTTCACCCATGATCATTATGCCAGTTGTGCTACTGGCAGAGGAGGGAGTGAGCGGTGGCTCACGCTTGGCTTGCTGCCGACTGCTGGGCTGAAAGGCTGGCAGGGCGCCGTGGTAGTGTTCCGTGGTGATTGTGGCGAGTGTCTCGCGCACGACGGCTTGACAGATGGCGAGAAGGCGAAACGCCCCTGTGACTAATGGCGACTTGCGTGAAAGGAGCAGCGGCAGGGTGACTCGTCGGCTTTAGTCGCACGCGCTAAAGGAGCAGCAGATGTTTTAGCCCGCTTGTTTCTCATAATGAAGGCCTGTTATAAATAAACGCGCAAGTAACGCGTGCGTGCGTGCGTGTGCAATGGTGTAAATTAGTGTAACCCCGATGTTCAGCGGAGGAGGTGGGGAGGAGGCACCACAAAACCCAGCAAACAGAGTGATTTCGAGGCACGGCTACCATCCGTGGTGCGTGACATCAATTTCAGACGCAAAAAGCCCCTTTCACCAACTTGCACTGGCAAAACTTGGTGAAGTATGGTCAATTCCCTCCCATGACCGAAATTTGTGCTGGGAGGAGGCCTTCTTCCAGAAGTGCATTGACAAAGGGCTGTGAATTATTGATGCTTAAAATGTTTTAATGTATTCTTTATCCACTGCACGACATGAACGCGATGTTTCCAACTCACCACTTGATAACCACAGACTCGTATGTATACAGATATAGAATCTTATTCACGTCTCGCCTGCTCACTGGGTTATGACCCTATCCTTTTAAAAGTGGAGCTGTGCCATCTGGCTGCGCGGGACAAAGCCCTTGAAAGGAGGGGTGTTGAGTGACACATCGTTCCCCCAAAACTGGTCGGTTGGTGGGTGACTTTTGGTGTCCGAACATCTGCGGTGGCACTTCTCTGCATATATTCAAGACCCGAACAGGAGGATTTCTCCACAACCCTGGCTGTCGCCTGATGATGCTGGTTGTAATCACCGGCAAAATGTCACGGGACCCGGATTGTAAATGTTGTGGCTTTACTCTCCAATGCACCGATCTGCTGAACTTGTAACGAATTGGCACGTGTTGTTTATGTGACAAACCTTACTAATTGACTGTGTTAGGTTGTGGCGGGTTTTAACGGCGCATTTATATTTAGGCGATCTAGCCCAAAACACCTCTATTATGGATGCAACTTAATGTTGGATGTCTCTGCAGCCAGAGACGTCCACGTATAGGCTGGCAATTTAGCAGCGCCATTGCAAGAGTTCAACTCCCATGAAGCTTAGAGCGCTGAATGGAGTTCAAAATAACCCACGAACACCTTGTGAAAGACGAAATGCAGAAGATTCCTGGGTTTGATCTTCCACGTAGCTCATGGTCCATCCGAAACCGCATCCGCGCACAAACCGTGCAGATGCGGATGCCTGATGCACAAATTGTCATCGAGACCATGCAACACATACCGACGCAATTCCAGATCCACAAATACGAAGGAGACATCACAGCGATACCACTCCGCTGCTCCGAGCGCGATGATCTGGCTTGTCCACCTCAATGTGAAATTTTAGTTGTTGCTCTGCATCTACATCAGCAATACCAAAGAAGAAGATTGAAAGAGCAATTTTGGTCAGTTAGGCGTGGACCCACCTTTTTAGTGAGTATATATTGGGGCTGACACCAGCACACGATGGCAGTGGCGTGACTGACATACCCCACCAGATGCTCAATGTTAGTCTCGGGAAACCAAGTAGAATCCCAAGCCAGGTTCAGATTCCAATTGAGCCTGTCGTTACGCACGGCCAAGATTTGGCCCTGGTTTGTGAGCACTATAGCGCACTGTGTCCACCGATGTGTCCCCCCCCCCCCCCCCCCCCCCCACTGCTGTTCCTCCTATCAAGTTACGCACATTGACATACGTAATAACACTTCAGAGCTGGGTTATATTAAGTGATCACTGCCCAAACAATTTCAAGTCTGATTGCGCAACTGATCACATTTTAACAGGAAAATAGTTGGGGGAGGGGGGAGATCTGTCCTCCGTTCCCACGTGCGACGCTGGACGGGAGGTGATGGGTGGGGCTTGATGACGTCGTTGGTGTCACCAGGCGCGTCACGCTGGCCTTGGTTTTGTGGGGGGTTTCCCGCCTTCGAGAGGCTGGATGCAAGGGGCGGAGGTCACTTTTTAAAGGGGCCGAGTGGTGGACCATGGAAAGTAGCCAAATATAATGCTTTGGTTGATTATAATGAATAATTATCAATTATACAGTAGTTAAGACGTCTTAACTGCTGAATTGCCCCAGCTTCAAGTATATATGCTACATAAGACTAAAGCAACAGGTAAATCTGAAAAGTAAATAAAATGTCGTTGATAGCATTATGGTTATTTTTTATTCGTGTATCTTTTAAACAAGACTGCTACGGATCATATGCTCTTCCCCGAGTCTCATCGGCAAGGTGAGGTCTCATAAATCAATGCCGGTGGATACCCTGACACGGGCAGAAGTCACTCACACGCAACGAGAGGCTAAGAAAACAGAGCTGTGGTCATGAGAAGCAAATGCTTGAACAAACTGAGGCGTGGCTCGACTTTGTCAACGCCCTGCCTACTCATTTCCAAGGCCCCTTTTATTGCAACGTGTCACAAAATAGCTTCACATCCACACTCGTTCAACGCGTTAAAGAAACTCAACGGCTTAAAAAGTGGTCAGACTTACATACTTTAGCTTTGGCTAAATACTCCCCCCCATGATTGATATCAACGGGGTCTCACTTGGGTCACACAAAATATGCTAAATTGAACAAAACCTACGACAATGTTTTTTTTAAATTCTGTTAGTATACGTGAGGCATGATCAATCCACTGCTGACGCCAACGCTCATGGAGTAGCAATCCACCAAGCACCTGCCCACCGTGGATGTCCTCTCAGGCGCGTGCCCTCCCTCGGCTGCCCCCCTCTCGTTATTCTCGACAAATATATAAAGACAAAAAAATGTTTTACCAGGTAAGGTCGACTGCGCTGTATAGCTCTTTTTCAGACGCGGCATGGCGACAAATGATAGCTAAACAAAGCGGCTTATCGCGTGGACATTTAAAGCAGCCAAATAAACGATACGTGTGTTGATTCTGAACGTGGAGAGAAAAACAGGAGGACCCGGAAAAAAATCTACGTGACTACGGGGAGAGAGAGAGACGCACTCTAAATATACAGCAGGCATCAGGGTCGGGATCGAATCCATGACCTGCTGCATACCCGGTGAGGGAATTAACATCCCGCCACTGCAGCGCACCTGTATGAAAGTGTTACCATTATGCCGTGAACCGCTTGTTGAATTGCTTTGCTATAAATTGATCTGATGAAGGGTGACAAACTTCATTCTGGAAAAGGTGGACGTTTTGCGCAGCGGTCGTGTGACGATGTCACTGATTCTTTTTTTGCCGCAGAAGAAGCGGGACACCACTCGTTCAACTTCCATGGCGATGGCGCCAATTAGATTACAAAAAAATTAGGCGTTCAACTATGCAGCCCTCACTGTAAATGGCGAAGAAGAAGAAGAAGAGAAAGACACACAGCCATTAGAAGCAGCAGACCCATTTTGGAATAGAGCCTGGCAAGGAGACACATGGGCACTACAGAGTTGTCTTTGCGACAGAAA